CAGAGGGCTGGAAAGTGGAGGAAAAGGGAAGGTGATGAATGATTAATGGAAATATGGTGATTAACAGAACATAGACTTTAAAAAATAATAAAGAGTTTGTCCCTAGGGTGGAAAACAGGAAATAATAAAAATAAGTAGGAAATTGCCAAAAGAGTCAAATAAGAGAGTAGAACAAAGAAATGCTCATTTCAGTATAGGCATTGTTGAAAAGACACAGAGGGTTTGGGAACTTACCATTTAGGACCTATTTGCTTAAGCAAAAATAAATTTACGTTGCCTAATTTCCTAAAAGTTACTCGGTGATAATGGGCCATTTACGGATAAGAGCCTGCAGCTATCCGGGTATACGGAAACCAGACTTTGTGTCTGTTCAACATTTCTTTCAGTGAGAAATCTGATTTACAGAATCAGAGTGCACAAGAACCCTCAGCTGCACGGCTCCATCACTAAGGAAAGGAGCACCTGTCTTTTCATAGCAACCATAAAGCATGAACTTGGCTCTCCAGAGGAATCCTCTATGTGTGAATTATCTGTGTGTGCATGCAAACTAAAGGCAAATTCATATGAGGCACACAGGCAATTTACAAACACGATCTGTTCTAAAAGTCTGTACACTGATAGGAATACAGAAACAAATCTCAAATGGGTGTAGACGCCCAGGTTTTTCCGCAAAAGCTGACCTGTACACATGCAAGGGCAAAATTTCACAAAAACAACCCTATTGCAAAACAAGTAATGAGAACAACGGAAAATAATAATGTGTGAGCTTTAATTATTTTGAATGTTAGCTGAAGGAAAACAAGTTTAATTAGAAGATGAGCTGATACAAACAGTTATGGAGATTCTTAAGGGAACTTCTGGGCACATTCAAGAATCATGAAGGCTAGTAACACAAGTTTTGAAAAAATTAGGCCTTATTTCCCATGACAGTTGTGTTTTTTTCTTTTCTATGAATCAGGTGGATCACTCATACAACTTGTACTCCCATCAGCCACGATTAGGGACATATCAGGGCTCACATTAGACTCCCTGAAGACAGGGTCCAGGAGTTCAGTTTTGTCACTGTGGTATCTAAAATGCCCCACAGATGTGTACGAAATGAACAAACGCATGAATGAACGAACAAATAATTTGCTGAAATAACACTGTGAAGAATTTCATAATGGAGGGGCATTATCTTCTTCAATAAAGGCATTATTTAAGCTATATTTCTCAGAATAATCAGCTGATACTGAAAAGGAACACCTGCTTCATGCAGAAGTGGCTGAGAAAAAAAGAATTGCTACAAAATATTGGGAAAGATGGTAACAAAGCACATTTCAAAGTTGGGCAGTCTACCAAAAAGGGAAAAAGAAGATGTGAGAGGAGCCAACAGCAACAGCTCAACTGGAATTCAACAATAGGACTTGAGCTCTATGACGAATTAATAACAGTAATAAAAATAACAGCAATCCTTTATTGAACACTTACTATGTGCCAGGCAGTATATATGCATTATCTAATTTAATCTTCATAACAACCATTTAGGTAAATGCTTTTTTCATTTCATGTTACAGACTGTGAAACTGAGGCTGAGAAATGGTAATTTTCCCAAATGCATCCAGCTAGGAAGTGATGGCACCAGGACTTAAATATGTATTAGTTTGTCTGACTCCCAAAGAGGCCCTAATCAATAAGGCAATAGGATACACGTGACTAATCATGGAAAAATAAAGTTTGGGGTTTTTTTCCAACTTAGAAAAGATGCAAGAGAATTCTAAACTTTTATTTGTGAGCAAATGGCAAACCAACTTGCTGTTAAGGAATTTAAATGTCATGTACATTTCCCATTCATGTAAGTTTGAAGGGGAAATAAATGTCCAATTTTTATTTTCTCTAAATAGTTATTGAATTCTGGTTTTCCTAAGTTTAGCCAGAGAGGGGATTTAACTGTGAAACAAACCTCTCCCAAGGCCCACAGATTGTTGGTCAGTCAGGAATCCATAGGCAACAGTCCAGCAACATGATAATCATTCCAGCAATGAAAGTTCAAAGCAAATTTTTAAGGCTACCGAGATAAGGTAAAATGGAATCTTTCCAATATTCTTCCCTTTGCTTTCAAATCAAATTAGCAAAAACTAAAAATAAATTATAAATCACAGAGTGTCTAATTAAATCACTTCTTTATACTTTTTTTTTTTTTTTTGGTCGTTCTCTCATACATGGGAGTAATACGTGTTCTAATTTAAACCTCTGTTATAACTATTTCCATCGTCCCTAGGGTCCTACATTCTCTTTCAATGTGTCTATCTTCAGTAAAACACAAATAGTTCAGCTTGATCGCACAGCTGATAAACCTTAAAGATAATAAACTGGACAGAGTAGCACTGAGATTCTAAATTAGACAGACCAGCAGTCATCCTCACAGTAATGGAATAAATAAAGCATGAACAATTAAATTAAATGACAATTTCTGATGTGAAGTTTGGTTTTTCTGTTTTTACATAGTAGACAAATTAGGCTGGTCTTCCATAGGAGGAACCTTCCTTAGAAGGGCTCTGCATACTTACTTTTTAATCTATAAAATATCTGATATATCAGCTACAATGTACCCATATCTACCTCATAATTAACTATATCCATGTATTGTCTGTATATTTTTTGCAATATGTTATATATTGGAGGTTAAACAGTTGAGATTGGTTATAAAGAACTTTTCTTTATTAGTTGGATTTAACACTATTTTGGCAAGTCCCCAATACAAAGTGGTTCAGTTCTGTTATTTTCTTTTTTATTGCTTTGAATGTTATAAGGTACTATTCTATGTCTGGTAGGGGCATGCAAGAGATGGGAGGGAGGAAAGAATGAACAAGCCAATAGTACATTTTGAAAATAAGACCAATGAATAAGTATATTTTGAGTCTCTTCAACATATTGACTAGGAAGTCTAATAGATTACTGCATGTGGGAACAGAAATTGCTGTGTTAGCAGCATCTAATGAGATTTCAAAAATTTAGTGCCTTGTAGGTTCTTTCACACTCATACTCTGCATAGTGTGATGCTATGAAACACATTTAACAGTCTTTATACCTTGGTGTTTTAATGCAAAAGGAGACTCTTTTCTCCATAGCTTTAAACAGCATCCAGGAGCTGGCTCCCATGAACCTCTTTCACATTCTTACTCAGAACTCTCGGAGAAAAGCTGTCATTTCTTTTTCTGTTCAAGTCAGACTACCTCGTCTCCAGGCATGAGAGTAAAGGAATGTCTAAGATAACATCTTCATTTATTCATATGATTTTCATCTTGGACAGTATTATAAAATCCAATCATAAATTGGGAAAACAATGGGATAATAAGACATTGTATAAAGTGAAATTTATGATGCAAACAGGATAGAGGAGATACTGCTGCACATAAGGGTTACACTCTCGTCATTTACAGTGTCTTTGCACATGACCTACACAGAGTAAGTCATAAATCTGTTTCTGAGGAGGAAAAGGGAGCGACAGGACTAAACTCCAAAGGACTCACTTTTATAAAAATATATAATACTAAGCATTTTTATATGAAATTCAACCCTGTTCTCTCTAAAAGAAAACCTAATCAAGCTATAGAGATGCAATCTCTAAATACTAACTTTATTCCACTCAATACTAGAAAACTGTTACACTTAGGTCTTCAAAGAGGCACAGCTAACACTTCTACGAAGCTTTAAATTCTCTGGTAAGGCTGAGTTTTATTTCTGGAGGGAAGAGCTTCCATCTGGTTTTTCTTTTTCTTTTTAAGGAAAAACATCTATATAATTATAGGTTTATGGTTACATGTGTGGAACAAAGTATATAAAGAAAGAAAAACAGATCATCAAGAAGCTAGTTATCGCTAAATTTATAAAGCTGGAATATTCTAACAGTGCCAACTAAATATATACTGTAACAAAACAGTAGTTTAAATCAAGCTATCAAAATACTTCAAAAGAGAACAAATTTTATGATTTTTAAAATTTATCTTTAAAATGAAATATGATCATTGCTATTAACAATATGCCATACAATAAATATACTAGACATCCCTTCTGTTAATAACCACTATAATTTCTCGGGAAACAATCTTGACAGAGCAACTTAGATTAATGTACAAGAGACAGCTTTTCTTCTTTGAGCCCTAACCATACTATTGGTTAGTATGGACTAAACTATGCCATTGTTTTCAAGCTAGTATTTATAAAAGCTGTAAAGATTATAATGTTTTTAACATCACCTTGCCTATATTTAGTAATTGTCAATACAAAATATCCCTTCTTCACTTTCTCTCAACTTCCCAGTTAGACGTTATTTTTCCATCTCTATACAGCTTGGCCATCTTAAAAGGAAAACAACCAACATCATCTTATGCGCAAAATCTGAAAACATTTCCTTCAGAGTAATATGACCTGTTAGACATCTGAAGATCAAGACAGGGATAAGGATTTATTAGGCCAAACCACACAGGACTTATATATCATGAGCTGGGGACAGAGCTTATTAAATGATTTTCCTGGTCACATAACTGAATATAAAAGGGGAAACGTTTCACTGACTGTGGTCAAATATGATCGTTGCCGCAGTAGATTAAAGGCCCCAGAAGTACCCTTAGTTAGGTCAGTGACAAAATGTCACTCCATGTGATTTTGTTCTTCATGGGCAATGTCTCCAAAGTGCTAGATGTGTGAAGATCAAGCTTGAACCCAGGTATGAATGTTGGTTTGCTTTCCCCTTTTGAAGGGATAAGCGCTTTCAACATGAAAATCATATCTTTCTTCCTTATCAACAAGGCTGTAATAAACAGATTTCAGAAGAAGTCAGATTTACAGATCAGGCATGGAAATACAGCAAGTATTCTCAAGGTTAGATCAGATATGAAATAAATCAGGAAGTAGGTACTGAATTTATGGATCATCCATATGTTGGCTCTTCTACTTGCCATCCACCAAGGCGTGGAGAAAGGTAAGAAATGGAAGTTAAGCTCAAATTACTCACGTAGTACTTGTTAATATATCTGGTGACTATCTTCTGTGGGAAAAGGCTGCAATAAATAGAAAAAGATGTAATGATTATATGTAGCTTCTGTTTCTGTAGTTCCAGCTCCTAGGTTTTATTTTCCAAATAGCCAAGGGCTATAGCTCTCAAAAGGATTACCCTTTCCAGGAAATAACAATGGAAAAAATAATTGTTAAGTAAATAAAAGAATACATCGATATTTTCCATATTATATGTTATTTACATTTTATATGCTATGTACATAAAATTTTATTGATATATACTCCTAAAAGTTAAAATCTTGGTTACCTCTGAGTGATAAAAGCAGAAGTCATTTTTATTTTTACTTCTATAGTTTTATGCACTTTCTGTTGTTCTGCAACAAGCATGGAATGATTTTATATGCAGGTGGAAGAAAGGGATATTCTCCCACCACCACACCCACATCAGGAAAAAGAATGGAGAAGAAGAAAAAAGAGAAATATGATCAATGAGCCTGCTCCATACTCTTCAACTGCCATTTTTCTCTTCCTCTCATCTCTGCTTTCCTCAGCAGAAGCCAAGAGTGCTTCTGGGGTATGGGTCTGAGTCCCGCCGCCAACACTGAGCAGTGTGCCTCTGATTTCCTCCAAGACTTGGTTTTCCCTTCTATAGAATGAAGGTAATAATAGAACTTATCTCCAAAGAAATCCAGGCAAGATAATGCAAGTAAAGCTCTTAGCACAGGGCATGGCTCAAAGAGAAGACCCAAAAATGTTAGCTGCACTTTTATTTCACCCATCTTACCTGATCTGGGAAATCTTAAGACTTATAAAATACTTTATAACTTGCAATATGCTTTAAAAAACATTAAGAAATTTAATCTATAACTGAAAGTAAAAGGGTAGAGCTGGAGTTCAAGCCTTGTCCTCCCCACACCCAAGTCTGATAACCAAATACCACTTGTGAGTTGGACTGACCCAGTGGTGTGCTCGAGCCACCTCTGGGTTTAGAAGAGGCCATTGTTAAATTTCAGGAATTTTGCAAGCTAGTTTGCAGCCAGCCCTGGCGGTCTCGCTGTTAAGATTCAGCACTCTCATCGAATCACACCAACCGTCTGTCAGTTGTCATACTGTGGCAGCTGCGTGTTGCTGTGATGTTGAAAGCTATGCCATCAGTATTTCTAACACCAGCAGGGTCACCCATGGTGGACAGGTTTTAGCAGAGCTTCCAGACTAAGACAGACTAGGAAGAAGGACCTGGCCACCCATACTTCTGAAAAAACTGGCCATGAAAACCCTATGAATAGCAGTGGAGCATTGTCTGATACAGCGCCAGAAGGTGAGAGGATGGCACAAAAAGACTGGGCAGGGTTCTGCTCTGCTGTTCACAGGGTCACTAGGAGTCAGAATTAATTCAATGGCACTAACAACAACAAAATTGTTAAACACAGCCATTATTAACAATTAGGTTATATAATTATGTAAATTATAATATAAAACTTACACTAAATAAATATATTTGAAGAGGTAATAAATATACAAAGTTCATCCCTTCTTAATTCTTTTACTATTATCCATACTCTTAAGGTTATGTGCATCTATTTTATCTGTATGGTGGAGATGCTGTATAATGGAGTGCTACTGTGCATCTCTTCCCAATTCCACTTTCAGTAAAGTCACATTGATAATCTGAAATCAGACAAATTTGCAAATGCTACAAATCAAGGCTTGATATTGTTTTGTTGCTTTGAGAGTGATGAAGAAAATGCAGATTAAACTTAAAGTGCACCATGTCTGTAACTGTTATATTCTGAGTGGAACAAAAAAAGTAATGACATATTCTTCTAGTATTTAAAACTATTAGACAATATTTATGACAGAACTGCACTTGTTCACCAATTGCACACAGAGACTGGTTATGGATATAAGAGTTCGACAAAATCAACAAAAGTGTTATGTGAGAATCTATTGGCTGTCTGGAATTTATGATAAAGAATAGTGATTATTTTATTATTATTTGTAAACTATTGGCTATATATGCTTTATATCAGTAAAATTTATAATAAACTTAGAAGTAGCTCTATCTATATCCAGGCATATTTTTTTTCTGGAGAGCCAGTGGTTAAAAACTTACCAGCACATCACTAAAGTGACCATTGTTTTAAACTACAGGTAAACTAGAAGCTCTCCACAGAGCCCCAGGCTCATCTTCAAAGGAGTCAAGTTGGGTTGTAAAATGTTTTAGTTTCAGTTGAGTCTACCCAATTGGATTATTATATTTAAATACAGTACACTGAGTATTCTCCTCCCGCATGATGATGAGGTAAGCACATAGCAAGTTCCACCATTATTATGGAAAATTTACTATATAGAACCACAAACTAGGGAAAGTCAAGATAGCTTTCTACAATTCATGAAAATGCTGGGGATACAAAAATAAGTAAAATATGCCCCTCCCTGTCTCCAGGACAGTTGAGCAGGGAGGGCAACTACACAAACCTATAATACAAAGGGAAGGGCAGTGGTAGGTATAAGGAGCAACGAAGCGACTGAGGAGAGCCAGGAGTTCAAACTCAGACCGGGTAAATGCACCAGCGTCATTTGCCTCACATCAAACAAGAGAAAGGAGGAAAGTCCCAGGGAGAAGGAGAAATCTGAGCAGTTTGGACTAATAATTAGGAGGAAGGATTCTAGAATCAGACAGCATGGGCTGAAACCCAGGCTCCCCCACTCACTCACTATGTGAACTTGGGCAAGTTACTTGGCCTCTCTAAGCCTCTGTTTCCTTATCTGCAAAAGGAGGATAGTAACTCCTGGCTCAGAGCATTGTAGCGAGGGTCAAATGGGAAACATGTGAAGTGCTTAGCACAGTGCCTGGTACACAAAGGTGGTCAACAAACGTTACCTACCACTGCGATTGTTGTTGTTGTGAGCCTTCAGTGTTGAAAAGGTTGTCTTTACGTGGTGGTGTTGTGGGGAGGGTGCAGGAATTGGGTATAGGGCATTCCAAGCAGAGGACAGAGAACAAACAAAAAACACAGGGTATGTTGAGGGCCAGTTAGTAGCCCTGAGGTACCAGAACATTCTTGCAGGCCCAGGCCAGGCACAGCCACAGCAGATAAGGCTGGAAGACTCAACTAGAGCTTTGTCAGAAGAGTTCAAATACACACCCACTCCTCATCCTCTTCCACGAAAAACAAAACAAAGTCGAATTTTTAAGATGATCTTATCCTTTTTCTCCTGACAGATCCTGTAAATTGTGCCTCTGATATATTTGTGAAGAGCTTATAAGGGAATGATAAATCAGGTGATATTACATATATTCATCAGTACCTTAATTGCTGTTAAATACTAACAACACCTAAAAATTGATCTGCACCAAGATTTAGTGCTCTGACAAAAATCCACCTGGAAAAGACTACATGATAATTAAGAAGAATAACCAAAGATTTGTGGCAAAGTAAGGCATATGAACAAGATTTAAACTCCTCCCTAGGGAATAACTGGGTGATGTTTATTCTGTAGATGAACAATGTGATTATAACAATGGAAAAGATTGATGAGATTTTTTTTTACTGTGGGAGTTTGATTTAGCCAGCTATCCCAGATAATAGAACGATGCAGAAGTGAGTAGTCCAGCACCACTCGAAAATTCTTTGTGAAGGGTAACTAGCACACATCTTCAGTGACCTGGAAAAATAGATTGCAAGTCAAGTGAGTATATTAGGCGGCTACAAACTGATATAGAAGCAACCAGAATTGAAGAAAGAAATTTCTAAATTAACCACAACTGAATTCAACCAAATGAGAGAGAAAAGGGACAAGGAGAATCACATTCTCATCACAGATAAGGGAATAAATTTCTCCCTTTTTGTAGTCTTGTGGGCCTGTAGGCTGTTAGTTGGGTCTAACAGGTAATTTTCAATAATCTCTCTTGTCCAGGAAATGAAGAACCCACCTGGCCCATCTCAGTAAACACACAAACTAAAAGCAAGGCAGGATTAGTCTTTCAGAGTCTTGCTACTTAAAGTATAAGGAGATGTCACCTGGGACCTTGTTAAAAACACAAAATCTTGGGCTGCACCCTAGATCTCCTGAATCAGAATCTGCATTTTTAACAAGATCCCCAGGAATCCGGGTGATTCTTTTGCATATTAAAGTTTAGGAAGCACTGATCTAGAGACCCAGACTTTCATTCATTCATTCAATAAATTAACCTCCAAGATCTGTATTGTTCAATATGATAAGTAGCCACTAGCCAACACGTGACTATTTAAATCTCAATTAATTTAAATTAAATCAAATTAAAATTCAGGGGTTCATTTGCACTAACCACATTTTAAGTGCTCAGTTAGCACATGTGGCTAGTTGACTACCAGTATGTTTCCATTATCACAGAAACTTCTATTGGATAGAGCTAATTTAAGCACTTGGGACACATCACTGAAGAAAGAAGACAAAGATCCTTGTACCTGGGAAGCTTAGATCCTAGTGGCAGGGAGGCAGGTGATAATAAACAAAATAAGTGACTAAATTAAAGGGTATGTTGGGCAGTTAAATGGCTCAAGACAAAAATTAAAAATAGAGCAGCTTTAGAGGGATCAGGAAGATGGAGGGACAGCCGGAATTTTAAATGTGGTGGGTTTAGTGGGCTTCATTGAAAAAGTTACCTTAAAGGAGAGCTGGGCTGTTTGCCAGCAGAGAGAGTATTCCAGACAAAGGGGAAAGCCTGTGCACAGACCCCATGGCAGGTGTGTTTGAGGAGCAGCAAGGGAGCCCACGTGGCTGGAGGAGAGTGAGAGTGGAGGGGGGTAGGAAAGCAGAGGGGTAAGGGTCCTGGGTAGGGAGAAGGGCCTCCTTGTGCATTTTACAGGACTTGAGCTTTTACTTGGAGTTAAACGAGGGCCCCTTGCAAGGTTTTGAGCAGAGGAGTGGCTTGCTTCAACACCATCTCAATGTTATTCAGTTCACCAGAAAAGGACTATAAGCAAAAGTTGTTTGTTTTAATTCAAGGTCAGATTCAGGTCTAGAAAGACAATATCTGCACTGGCAAAATGACTTTGTTTA